TGCACAATGAATGGCACTGCACAAGATGCCATGTGTTACTGTGCATTACAATAACATATGGTAAAATGTGTGTTAATTTAATGCATACAATTTAATACGGAGTACCGGTTTCCCCCATAAAATTAAAAGTCTGCATCTACAAATACTGTCGTTGCTGACTTTTAATATAAATTTACACTTACCTGCTTCAGGATCCAGTAATTTTTGCACCCAAGCGGACTTCTTTAATCGGCTTCAGGTGCAGAAGCCAGCAACTCAACTAAGGGAAACTAGCAGTGAAGTCTGCCGGCCTCACAGCCGGTTTCCTACTGCACATGTGGGGGGGGGGAAGAGGAGGTGCTGGTGGTTGCCAAGGCGGACTCGCCAGAAGTCGGAGCGGGTACCTGTCAAAACCAGGTACCAGCTCCCCCCCCCCCCCCAAAAAAAAGTGCCAAATGTGGCAATGGAGGAGGGATGGATGCCGACAAGCAGATCTTCCCCTTTTGGGGAAGAAAAATGATAGATTGACAGACACGTAGGAGTAATTTTCACACTCTCTTGTGTTTATCCTATACGTTTTTCCATTAGGCATTAAAAGGAAATAAAGTTTCACTTGTCTTACAATTAATTTAGCTTTTTTGTATGCAAGTGCAAACTTTCTAGCCTTTGTCTATGGCTGATGTGCAAGCTTGCATATTAGGGTAAACCTAGCCTGTTGGTAATTGAATACACACCTCTGCCCTTTTTTTTTTTTTCTTTTTGAAACATGTTTATTTGGCAATTCCCTTCCAGTATTCAGTGAGATGTTGTATACATCGACACTGATAACATTTAAATTTTGTAATTCTGTACTCAAAATAGATTATGATGACCGGCAAAACTTTTAAAGCACAGAATGGAAGCAAAATAGAAAGTATAAATGCCTGTTAGAATATAGATCTATTCTTCAAGCCACATGACAGAACAGATTCCAGCACCATAAAATGACCTTGGGAACATTGCACACCTCATGCCTTTTGAACTCAGCGGTTTCTTTTTAGGGAATGTTACAGGACTCGGTAGAGCCTTCCTGACCTTGCCATTAGTGCAACCTGTGAACCCACAATAAGCAAATGCTTTGAATGTTTATCTGTCAGCAAAGATGCTCATCCAAAAAGTCATGTACTGTATTTAACCACCTAATATTTAAAATGCATCAGTTCATTAAATCACGTTTAGTTGAGCTTTTTCAGTGGGTAAAGTCCTTAATACGAGTTTATTGAACCTTCTTGCAGACTGTTTTTATCAATAAAACAGGTTTTCGTGGAGGTGGATTGTCAGATCCTCCCCAAACTTATATTTCAGGCCTGGATGAGTACTGGTAGTTGAATTAACTTCAAGATAATATAGCTCTTAAAGTGCTGAATGTTCTCTATGATGGTGACATTTTCTGCAGCTGGAACCCAAATGATGTCTTTACTGTAGAAACCATAAGGACAGCATGATACCATCACTTGTTTTGTAATGGTTATGGCAGTTCGCTATGATTCAGCTTACCAGTAACTATATGAAATACCAGTTTTGGATGAAGTTGACCATTATTTATTGCAAAATGAGTATGACTTGTGTTATGACATCACAGACATAGTCCATCCTTTTACGTATACAACTAATACTTAACACAAATAAAATAAGGAACTAACATTTATATTTTGTATATCTATTTACAGTTATGAAAAGCATTCTCTATTTTAGTTATTTTCTACAATTTAATTTAGTGCATGCTGTATGTAATATACATACAATGTATAAGAATAAAGTATTCTCATATGAATACCTAATATTGTATATTATTTTATAATTTATGGTGCATATTTATAGCCCAGCCCTATGTGATCATAGCTTCAAGTGGGTAGATGTAAGAATAGCAGCTTATAAAAATAAAGTGACTGCTTTTTGACTTGGCATTCGCTATTGTAATAGCAAACTTGTCTAGTATACATCTTTATATATTCATAAAGATACAGTTCTGTGTGGAGCTGCATTAAATTAAACTTTTCTTTTCAACTTTACAGAATAATCACAATTTACAACTTTTATGTCATATCATTTTAAGGCCACCTTATATTTATTTTTCAGTCAGATTTGGAATTAAGCACACAGCAGGTAAATAATGGCCCTCACACACAAAAGTGGAGTAGTTTCTCATCACAGACAGTCAAATTCTTTCTATTATATTTCCAAGGAACTTTGGAAGTATAAAAGCAAGATTCTTATAGGTTGCTATGGGAAGCAAAATACTGTTTATACATGCTTAATTATTATATAATATATACTTTGTAGGTATGTTCAGGCCTACAGTCAGTATCAATGATGGATATAGCATTGTCCAGTCACCAGAAATGTTCTATTTCACTGTAAGATTTCTTCAGTTGGTGCTAAAAACTTTAATTTCTTAAAAGCATTCATCATCATTTGATCGCTATTTCCATACACTACCTGATTATCAAAAGTGATGTTTGCAAACCTGCAAACGTTGCATAGCGTATGGCCAGCATAAGGCAATAAAAAGTGCAAATTCTAGGATTATGCATAGAAAATGTGATAGAGCAAATCATTCATACATAGAATATTAGGTGAGGTTCTCACTTAAAATACTGTGAAGAAACCACTGATGCATATCTGTTTAATGTAAAAGCATTGCCACTTATGTAATAGAAAATAAAAGACAGGTTTACTGAAGGAAAATTATGGAATATCAAAACTGGCTGTTTTTGATATCATAGATAAGAAACATATTAATATGCATCATTAAGATTCTGAGACATAATTTTAAGAATCTCAATTATACAAAAAATGGTCAGTCCATCCATAGGTGACATTTTAGATATAGGTAATTATATGGTGGATTGAGTAAGACTCTCAGATGCTTCAGCAGTGAGTTCCCTCTACCATAATTACTGACCATCTGAGTATTTGTATCTGCCGTTGCACCTAATTTTGCGTTCACAATAGCAGAACACAAAGCAGGGATAGTATGGTCCCCTCATAATGGCCACTGCAGGTGTGTAGGACCCAAAAGCCTGAATGCAGAGATTGCACCTTTAGAGTTCTCTAGAGTCCCACCAGCTGAATGGAGTGGTGTGAAACTTAAATGAAGGAAATTATATGCTGTTTTTGGGGGCTAAGTTACAGAGAACCTGTTGCTGTGCCTTGTGTGGGAAAAGCGAAATACAAAACAGCTGTAACCAATGGTGTGAACTGGGTCTGTACATGGCAATAAAAAAAAATAGGATGACAGCAGAGATAACGAAAGTGGGGAAGATATATATCTGGAGTTTTATCTTGAATTAGGGCTAGACATTTAAATTAATACTGCAATTGCTGAGCAGGACCGGTGCTCGTAGGCGGGCAAACTCAGCAATTTCCTAAGGCCTCTATATTCTTAGGTGCCCTAGAAGTATCCTCCCCCCCACACACACATGGAGAGTTCCTCTACTAAAGCAGTAGTATTTTATTCCCAGTTTAACTCCAGGGCCACAATTTATCCAATTCAGGTCTTGTTATTGAGTAATAAAAACAATGACAATGAGTTGCCCTGTCACCCTCCTGGATTAGCAGAAAGGGAGCTCTTGACACTCCTCTGTGTCTGTCTTTGGACATCAGGCATTAAAAAAAAAAAAGTCATACCCAGAGTCACTTGTGCATTGTAACTTTAAACTAGACACAGACAGATTCAGAGAAAAGTGCTACTTTATCTAAATGGCGGACTGCTGAAAGTCCATATTATCATTTCCTTTACAGATTTCCTTTTTCTCAGTATACGCCATTGGCAGCACTTTCTCTAGATGATATGTTCCACTGAGTATTTTCCTTGGATTCTTCTTAAAAGGTTATTACAACTAACATTTGGTGTGCTTTAAAAGCTTCAGTAATGATATACTGTAATTTGGGTAAGCCAGTTTCTGAGTAAGTACACATATACTCAGATTTAATTGACTATCGATTTGCTGGTGTCAGAATTATTACTATATACCACTGAAAACTGTTCAAGAAAATCTATTTTAACAAAGATTATATGTAAGCATAGGGCATTCAAAACTCTATTTTCATTAATACATCTACTTTTGACCAGTCCCCAAAATAAGATTTATATAATGTTTATTATACTAGGATTTAATAGAGATGTCCTAAAGTTCAGTATTGGTATTAGGCAACTATTTACATATATTATGTTTAAAGGAGAAATGTTCCCACTATAGGTGGGGGACAAAGGGAACCAGGGTATAAATATAGATATTTGAGCCATGACCCTGTGATCTGCTGCTCTAAATGTTACAAGCCAAGCACTTCTTCTTTTGGTCATCCTGTAGCCCCCTATACACAGTGAGAGGGTTATTTATCAAAGGGGTAATTTTCAATAGGGACAGGCTTGCCAGCCTGATTAACTGATTATATATAGTTTTTTCTTTTCCCTGGGTTGATTTTGAAGTATTTCATCATCTTTACTGGGCAGGGGCTATTAATCAGTCCTTACCAATTAAGCATAGTTGCCAATATTTATGTATAAAACTAAACATAACTATTTTGTTTACATAATATAATTTAAGCAAAATAGAACCTATTTAGCACAATATTGGAGCTATTTACTATTTTATTTATTAAAAATTAGATTGCGCTATCTTTAAGAACTAACTTAGGCCAACACATTCTCTCAGCCTCACCAGCCCTTCTGGCAAATGCCAGGATTGCTATAATGCCTAAACATTTCTTTTGAGCAAGTGATGATATATATTTGGAAACCATATTGATTGAAGGTGAACACAAAGTAGCAGGACTAAAAGGAAAATTGCTCATTCAAATAACATTAGAGCATTAGGTAGAATATTTCCTATTATACACACTTGTGGAGTCTTTAAATACACTGACAGAGCCTACAGAATGATGCTGAAAGGCTTGGTGTGTCACATGTACAATGACAGATCATTAATTCAGGGGTACAAAGGTAAGACTTAAAGTGGTACTAAACCCAGGACCCTGCATTCACTATATCTGGTCTCCCACAGTACACAGAACATGGAAATGCAATTATTTTAGTAAATACAAACTGCGTAATACCTTTTCTCATCAGCAATTAGAGCGGTCTTGTGGCTTCAGCGGAGCGCTCGTTAAAGCTTATAAGAGGAGTTTTCTTTTTGCTCTAGGAGGATGCAAAACCCCTGACCTCTATCTGGACAGTGCTGATTGGCCCTGTGCTGATCAGATGCACTCTCCCAAGAAAATAAAAAACCTCTCTATAAATACACACTAAACTGAGCATGAGCATATGACTACAGGTTCAGTCTATCTTATCAGGTGGACATTTGAACAAGAGGAGGGGCAGAGAAAATAGGACCAACAGCCTTTTTACACAATGCAGAGGATTAACCCCTTAGGGTCCATTGTCCATATAACAAGCACGGTTTACTGCATATGCAGACTGATTTTACTGTTGTCGGTTTAGTAACACTTTAATACATCTTTTACTTCCACTGACCCCATTATACACAAAATATCTGGTGGGGGATTCTCCTTTAAACTGGTTTTTAAACTTTTTAAAGTTACTATGTGGTAAAGCTCTTTCCCAAATGATAAATCCTGCAGCAGGACATGGTGCTGATTACCACATCTAAGTTGGTTTAACAGAATTTTAAAATGTATCCTTTGTTTTAGCTTCTGTAATCTATGCATTGCTTTGCCTTAATATACCGTAAGATTTTTGTAAATAGGTAAACTCTCCAAATGATTGCTATCTGGCAAAGCAGGAACATATACAAGATTGCAACCAATCTGTCGTTAGCTTTTATTTTCCAGTCTGCCCTGGATACCAAGCTGTTTGAAGAATATTTGCTGATACTGCACACTCTACTTTGTGCTCTGGCTTTATACATCAGCCACGATTATGCTTTATTGTACTTCATTATTTGCCTGTGAGATCTACCCTGCACACAATTCCTGACATTTATCACATTGTGACATTGCCTGACTAGTCTGGATTAAAGCCCACATAAAAGGATGGCATTTCTCGTGATGTCAAGCCTACAACTTAGGTTCAGATAAACTCATTTATGTAAGAACTTTGGTTAAAAACTCCAACAGTGCCTTATATTGATGCACACAACCACGTGTAAATGTGGGAGTTTAAAAAATAACACTGCTGTAATAATACTCTATAATCATGTACAGTCAATGGCACTTTATGATAACAATTAGTAATACCGTACTCAAAGCCCTAATGTGCTTTAAAAACATATTCAGCTGTGGTTTACTTGGCACATTCATGTGTCTCAGACCTTTTACCACCTCTTACAATCTATAACAAGAAAAATATTATCCTTATAAAACTACTCTGCATGCATACTCTCAGCTACAATGGCAATTTTAAATACAAGGTGCACCTTTTGTTATTTTGTAAACCTTGAAAAAAATTTAAAAGCATAATCTTGGTCAAAAGACGTACCAACACATTGGAGATGTTACAACATAGGCTGAATTTCCAATGCATGAAGCAATACATACCTATGGCCCTATTTATTAAGACAAAGAGCAATGTGCAAAGTGCAGTGGACATAAGAGCCAGTCACTAGCCATCCTACATTAGTTGGTCAACACTAAACTGCTGAAAGTTTACTTTTGATTGGCTATAATTTAACTGCACATAACTGCTCTTTGCATTGTTATATAATGGTTATATGAGTAAATGATAGGTACTAAGAGATGCATGTATGCATCCTGCATTGTGAAAAGACAGGATATGATGTATACTTAGACAGAAAGAAAATGTACTAATTGTATATTGCAATTGGATTCCGTGTTGATCTTGACATTGTTCAGCATGCAAGATTTCTCACTGTTGGGATCTTTGTGTTTCTTGTTGATGTTGTATGCACATTATGGCTAACGGCCTTGGCCTGTTTTTTTTTTTTCAAGTTCACTTTGATCTATGGAAAAGAAGAATAATTTTTAATGTAACCAGTCAGAACAAATGAATACACTTATTTATTTATTTATTTATCTAGTTTATATAGCGCCAAAGGGTTTGCTCAGCGCTGTACAATAGAGGGGGGGACAATACATGAAACAGTACAGTAACATCAAACAGCACACGAGGGGTAAGAGGGCCCTACTCTTTTGAGCTTACAATCTAGGAGGGAGGGGGGGTAGTGGTACAGGAGGAAATGGCTGTGGGGGATGGAGTGGTAGGAGGAGGGAAGGGCAGCGGCTGTTAGGTGAGGGTGGGGTAGGCTTCCCTGAAGAGGTGGGTTTTCAGGGAGCGCCTGAAGGTGAGGAGGGAAGGTGACAGTCTGGTGGATTGGGGTAGTGAGTTCCAGAGGATGGGGGAGGACCTGGAGAAGTCTTGCAGTCGTGCGTGGGAGGAGGAGACCAGGGAGCAAGATAGAAGGAGGTCCTGTGAAGGACTGTGACTTCTTCAGTAAGTTGGAAAACTAATTTCCTCTTATTTACAAAGTGAGGTAGTTCAGTAAACTATGAAATCTCATTAACTTCTCAAGAAGAGCCAGAAGAAGCTGTGACCAAGTTATGAACGTTTAGGCTGGATTCACATTTTTAAATTTTTGCTTATGCTTTTCATCATTTAAATCAATGGAAACACATCAAAACACATGTCACCTGGGCATATATATAATTTCAGCCTAAACCTACATAAGAAAACAGATGTGCTGAAGCTGACTGGTTGTTGAGTAGGGTGCTACCATAGATAATGCTGAAAATATATTTATGACAGCAAGCCCCCCCCAGGAACAAGTCTGTCTTAGCATATCTTATTTTGAGGCCAAATTCAGGGTTGTAACTGCTATACTGTGGAAACTAGTGTATTAATAGCTGTAGTTGATTGTGGAGCCTCCTCCCTGTAATTAAATAGAATAAGTGGAACTTTTTCTGAAGAATCTCTTTAGTAATGTTGGTCCATTATTTCATCTGTATTCATTTTTAAGGCACAGATTGGAAAACCAATATTTTGCTTAGAACTTAGGACATTATCATTTCAATGAATGCAATATGATCAACTTCAGTGCTGTGTAGTGTATTTAAATGTATAGTGAAAGCACCATGAAAAATACAATTTGTTTACTTGCATCCAAGTTAACCTATCTGTTGGACATTTTTACACAGTAATCTACTTACAGGTGACACATGTAAATTGGACTCGTAGTTCATTGTACTAAATATAAAAAGCTGGCAAAATAAAGCCAGAGAAGGGGGACATATGAGAGTGCCTTGGTTTTCCAGATGTGTTCTTTAGAAACTGACATACAGTAATGCCTTCTGGAAAGCAAGTTCTACTTTCATAAGTTTAGTAGGACCACACATTTGTTTTCTGGCACCATTGAAAAAAAAAAAAAAAGACAAAAACCCTCTTCAGTCTTCTTCTTTGCTGCTTTTTGTCTTCTCTAATACTACAAGTGCAAGTTTTTTTACATCTAAAGACTTGTGGGTGACACTCAAATCAGGTTCCCAATCCATTTGCTATGCACAAGCCTAATACAGTACAGCAAAAACTTATTTTCCAACCCCTGAGTGGGCCTAATCCTCCATTTGTGCTCCATAGCCTTTTCCTCCCAGAAACTACAGGCTTGTGAATAAGCAGAAACAATGCTGATAACCATACCCGCTCAAGCTAATAAATCAATTTTAAATAGTTGATCGGGTACACAAATTACTGATAATGCACACATATAAAATAGAGACATGTACAAGTGTTTTAATAATAAACAATTCAATAAATCTTTTCAAAAACTCTTCCCATATGGGATAGATGAAACTTCTCTTTAATGAATTGTTCACTGTTAAAGCTTAGCACTTTCGCCTGGCAGTACTAGGGTCGTTGGTTCGAATCCCAACCATGGCACCACCTGCCTGGAGTTTGCATGTTCTCCCTGTGCCTGCGTGGGTTTCCTCCGGGTACTCCGGTTTCCTCCCAGACTCCAAAGACATGCTGGTAGGTGAATTGGATCCTGTCTAAAATTGTCCCTAGTATGTGTATGTATGACTGTGAGTTAGGGACCTTAGACTGTACGCCCCTTGAGGGTTAGGGACTGATGTGAATGTACAATATATATGTAAAGCGCTGCTTAAATTGACGGCGCTATATAAGTACCTGCAATAAATAAATAATAAAGCGCCAGTACATATTTTTGTTGTATATGTACTCCACACGTGTATTATCAACAAATCTTTATTTATCCAATCCAGGGGCGGACTGACAACTCATGGGGCCCCTGGGCAATAGGGGATCATGGGGCCCCTGTGTCCTTGCCCAAACTCAAAAAAAGCCTATGAAAAAGGTACCAGGGGCATCTCATGGGGCCCCCTACTGACCCAGGGCCCTTGGGCAGTGCCCAAGTTTCCAAATGGTCAGTCCGCCCCTGATCCAATCAACTATTTAAAATGTATCTATCACAGAGTGTTCTCAGTCTTGTGTAGTGCAAGCAGAACAGCCTGCCTGAGGACAACAATGTTATGAATTCAAGAATAGGTCGCAGCATTGTCCCCCATCACAAGCTGAATGGGGTGAACTTTACTGCCAGGATCAACCGCTACAGTATTTGTGGGACTTTGCATGTACAATGAAGTGCTGAAACTCATTTTTTGGAAGCCCGTAGTTCCACTTTAACTTACATTGCAAAAGAACAGATCAAATCAATACAAATATTACAAGCGAGAATTTCATATAGAACGACTTACTGCATCATGGTACAATCTCTAGAGCTGTGTAACATACTTGTGACTACTCAGATGATCTGCAGATATTATGGGTATCTGTAGATAAAACATGTTGAAGATGTATTGAAAACATTTGCAGCCAACTCTCAGCCATTTATATAAAACATATCAAAAGCATTTCAAACTCTTAATGTAAAGCATTAAGAAAAACACAATAAGTTGTAATAGTGAAACTAAATGCTGAAGTAGCAAATTGATGTTAAGAATTGCTCAACAACTCTAAATAAGTGTCATTATCAGATATTCAGGATACCAAAGGATCAACATACTATGCAACACATAGTGTATGTAGCAGTAATTAGAAAGAGAGTGTTTTTGATGGAATACATTAATGTCATTATTGTATTCAGTCTAGGACGACACAACTGACGAACTGAAGGTTTGAAATTACAACTAAAGTCATTTGAGAGAAAGGTAATTTGAAATGTTATAGAAGTGATTTGGGAGTTGGAGAAACTGGAGTATTTTACTGTTCTGACAAGGCAATATTGTGGACTATATTAAGCACGAAGAAATATTGTATATGTTTTTGTTTGCCTGAGCATCAATTTTGTTATAGCACATAATATATTTGTCTGGCATGATGATGCATAGCATAAATGTTCTAACTTTGAAAAGTACAATATTGTAGAAGGAGAAGGTTCCTTGCATACAAAACCATTGCTCTCTGCTGTTATTTCTTCACTGTACCATCTTTAGCCTCTCATCTGATTCTCCCCTGAAGTTCAAATATTAGTTCTAGACTATCAACATCTCTACCTTCAGATGTGTGAATAAGGTGATAATGGTCTTTATGAACAGATATGTTCAAATAGCTGACATGCAAGAAGAATTGGGGTATAAGTTTTCACCATCTTAAAGTAGAACAATAGGCAAAACATTTGTGTTCATTTTGGATAGAGCAAGGGAGGGTTATAACCCCTGCCAGATTTTTTCCGCCATCTGTGTCCCATTGAGATTTCCCTTCACTTCCTGTCCCATAGCCAAACAGGAAGTGAGAGGAAATCTCTGCAAATTAGAGGAATTCTGTGAGGATCCATAGGTAACCAGAACTATTGGCTCCACTGGAAGATTTCCCCTTTATTACTTTTCTGGAAACAACCCAAAATTGGGATTTTCTTTTACATACACTTTCAATGATAATGGCAAACAGGACAAATAGAGAGGGGCAGAGACAGCAAAAAAAACTGACAGGTGTCCTTATCCTTCTGCACTCTATCCAAAACTAAAAAAAAGTTTTGCCTTTAGTTATATTTTAAGATGGATCTAAAGCCAGATTTTTTTTTCTTTCGTTTTCAATATAATGGTGAGGAATTTGAACCACGTTTAGGTATCTACTGCTGTCTGTGTCATTGCTTAGGAGATTCCCCTCTCTATTTGTCCTGATGAGCATTGTCACCAGAACTGAATACGACGGTAAATCTAGAATTTTGAACTGTCACAAGAACACAAAAAACAGGGGCGAATTTTCCAATTGGCTACTTATTCCGGTGACAGCAGTCTAAAAGGGGATTTCCTCTCACTTTGTGCTGTGTCTATAGGACAGGAATGAAATCTTCCAAATGGGACAGACTGCATGCACAGTGAATGAAGTGACTTTATAATGCAATCATGTGCAAGCAAAAATACTGCTGTTTTATTGGGGACAATTCACTAAAGGTTATCACATGGGTTATGTCAGTCAGATGACCACATATCGCATGCGATACTGAAAATCTCAATTCACTACTGCTAGTATGTTGTATTTACAGCAAATACGCTTGATAAATATTGCATAAAAAGACCTTAAAGCAGTAGTAAATCGCATAAAAATAAAACAAAAAAGGAAAAAAAACCTACTGCAAGGTAAAGGCATAATATGCTAGTATGCAGTGCATACTAGCACAATATGATGGACTTAAAACAAAGCCCTCCAGCAGAGCTTCCATCTTCAACCGGTCTTCCTTCTGGGTTCGCAAGCTCTGGCTGCCTGACTGGCCAAGCTGAGATGACGTAACTCCCATGCATGCACGCGAGAGAATCCTGGGCCACAGCACAGTGCTCTGAAAGAAAGGCACAGGTATGCCGTTCCTTCAGAGCGCATGCGGCAGCTATCAGAAAGGGGTAATATCTCTTAAACAGTTCACGTTTAGGAGATATTAATTTACCTACAGGTAAGCTTTATAATAGGCTTACCTGTAGGTAAAATTATTAAAGAAGAGCTTACTACCACTTTAAAGTCAATTCACAGAAGGAAATAAATAATTCAATGTATATGGTAATTAAGTAGTGGTCGAGGCATTTTGTATGTACTGGTTGATATAGCTTTGTGAATAGCGGTAAGATATAGCTTTGTGAATTGTTCCCATTATCTTTGCTTGTATTTGGGTATTCGTTGCAAAGTGAAATTCCACCACATTTACTAAGCTAAGTAAAAATTCCTTTTAAAGTGAATATGCTCTATTTCTTTAGTAAATCAACCTCATTACATCTCACATTACCTCTAAATAACTAGCAATAAAAAAAAAAACCTCATACACCTGTCAAAGTTGATAGTCATCAAAACTGATTAAGAATGATAGATGCATGTAATTAAGTGTTTACAAAATAGCTAAAATATTGTTGCCATGTTAAGACTTTTGGGGTATAAGTGGATAGATCTGTCTCATTTTAAAGTTTGTTGCAGAAGTGGGAGCTTACAGCTAATGTGGTTTTATATAATTATTCAGATGGCAAATTTAAAAACTGTATCTTTGTAACTTCTCCATATGATGTTGATCTCATATGGATGTTGATTTATGTAATATGCAATCTGACCAAACAATTTTTGTACAATCAACATTAGATTTATCAAAACTATGTAATATGAGGACCTACCTAATCTATCCAATCAATTTAGTTGCAGTCAGGTGAGCCCTTGCACTGCATAGTAGTTGGAAGTCTAAAGAAGACTGTTAAATAATATTGTAACTTGTGAGGTAAACTTAAGGCCATCTATACACAACTGAACAATTCTAGCATTTGAAATATTCTGCAGTACGAAACTCTAGTTTCCATCCAGTCAGATAAAAAAAAAATGAAGACATGCATTTCAGCTGTATGTCAGGTTCTATAACCATAATTCTACAAAAATATACACGTGAGTCTGTAATATAAGCAGCACTGCTTTCACAATTTAGCAATTTAGAGATAAATGAGAGCAATTTAGCAAATTATACCGCAGAGAATGAGCTTCTGTTTAACTGGATTTGGTTTTCTTACACTTGCACGTCAAGATTACACACTACGTTTAAAGTAAAATAGTCTAGGTTTTTGATCTGTGTTGCTAAATAATATACAATTCTCTATGAAACGAGAGGTTATACTGCCATCATAGTGCCATTTTAACAAAAATACGATTAGGTGATTGCTTAGTATGCCAACAAAGATGTAAGTGAACCCAGACTGAGTTGTTATTAAGCACTGATTTAGAGTTGTTCTTAAGAATGGAAGCTGTAAATTAGCAAACCTGGTTGGCTGTGGCTGTTGCAGCGAAGGGGACACTTGTGGCAGATGTTGCGGCTGCAGACACAGTAGCCGGCGCTGCACCGTGCAGCATGGGAACTTTCGGTGGGAAATCATATAAGCAAACATACAGAAGAGTGTAGCAGAGTGGGAACCATAGCAACAGGTGGCAGATCAATTTGGCATGGAATTTATTGCAGCGAGAAGCCACGTGGGGTAACATCATCACCAGCGAGTGTCATGCAATCAGAATGCAAAAGCAGGACAGCATTCCGGGGGGAAAGAGGAAGAGGGTGGGATGGAAGAGAAAAAAAAGGGAAAATGTTTGTTACCATCAAAACACGGTATTCATTACACACAGTGCTTAACCTAAAAATACTTATCCCCTGCACACAGTGGAGGATGCCATTGTGGTTTAAACCAATATTTATGGAAATGGAGCCTGAATTGTATAGGAGAAAGTTCATTGACAAGCTTGCACAATGCCCCTCTTTTGGCCCACAGAGGTCTCCAGGATGGCTATGCCAAGTTTACTGGTGTTCTTCACGGCTGAAACCTGAATACAATGCCAGGACCAGTTTTCATTATGGACAATTGCTTGCCAATTGGAATGAGCCATTGTGCAAGATCACAGATCTTTTCAGTAGCCTGGCTCCATGAACTTCCCATAAAACAATTACCATATATTTTACATATAACTGAAATTATATTGATAATCATTTATTTATGGAAAATTATAAAAACACGTAATTAAAATAAAAATATAAAAGAACGAGGAGAAGCTTTCCTTTCATATAAGTTTGAAAAAGGTAAAAAAAAAATATATTTTTCTCCTCTTCTTGGCATCTCTCTGGTTCCTATTCTTGGTATCACCAACTTGTATTCCAACATAGCAGTGAAGTATGCAGTGATGGTGTACAAATAACAGCCGGTCTTATAACTGCTTACTGAAGAAAAATAGGTTGACTGCCATGGGGTACTGTACATTGCACACTGCACTTTCTCTTTTTATATAAGCTGTTTCATTTAGAAAATGTCATTAAGAAGCTCGGGACAAACTGACGTACCAAGGTTGTGGCAGGTACTACAAGGTGCTAGTGCATATCATTCCATTATTAGAATTCAACAAAATTTTTAGCATGGGGTCTCAGAACTTTCTAAACAAAGAGTTAGTTCACTCTCCTTCAGACTTTAGGGGTACCAGATGGTGTCCAGTGGGAGTAGAAAATGTCCTGGCATCAGTGGTTAGTGGGAGTAAAAAATGCCCTAGGGTTGGTGGTCAGTGGAGTTAAAAATTGACCTAGTGTTGGTATTAGTGGGAGAAATAATGCCTCATTGTTGGTGTCAGTGGGAAGAATAATACCCTGTAAATGGTGTCAGTGGAATGAATTGTGCCCCAGCAATGGTATTCGTGGGAGGAATTATGCCCAACATTGTCAATGTGAAGAATCTTGCCCCACCTTTAGAGTCAGTGGGTGGAATTATTCTACATAATTTTTGTCAGTTGAATGATCAGTGCCTCGTCATTGATGTTAGTGAGAGAAACAGTGCCCTATTATGTCAGTGTTAGGAATGGTACCACAAGAGCTGGGTGAAAGAACCACTTTCACCCATACAGTCACAGTTTTGGGACCACTGCTTTAGCATTATACTGTGGTGTGTGAGGGCATGCCTAAGGAAAGTGTTTGCATACTACGTAGGTCCTATGTTTTGGAGATCCTGAGTTGACTGATGTGTACAGGGACCTCGTGGTGCTTGCTATAACGTAGCTATGTGATTGTAACCTGCTTTTGTAATATGAATCCTCCCTTTAATGTTAACATGGAAATCTCTTTGATTTATCTTGCCTGGTATGAAACTCAGAAACATGACACTACTGGAATGAGGCAGCATTTCAGAGGTGTTAGGAACATCAATGTTATTTGGGAGTAGGGGCTGTAGCACAAGCCCCTTGTTCCTTTGGGGTCTAATGGCAGCATTACATTATAGGGGTTGATTTATTAAAAGCAAATAGGCTGTTCACTTTGCAAGCAAATTTTCCCCAGAACTTAGTGAATGAGGTAAAATTTCACTTTGCAAAGAATATATAAATCACATGCAAGGAAAATATAATAACAGCATTTTTGCTTGCATGTGATTCAATGATGGACATCAGCAGAGTTTCACTTCATTCACTAAGCTCTGGAGAAAAATATTTTGCAAAGCAAAACTTACTTTGCAAAGTATACAGCCTTTTCCCTTTAGGAAATCAATCCCTTCAATCTCTTTGATTTTGCTTTTGGTTTCAGTGATTGTTTCAAAAGCCAAACCACTGCTTTTAAGGAGATCCTTGGCTTCCAACTACTTCTCATTCTAGTTATTTAATTAGTATATTTGTATGCACAATTGCAGAGCTGTACTTTCTGGGATCAACATACTATTACACCAGGACTCAACAACTGCTACAGTATATTTGCCTCGAATCAAATTGTTAATAAATCTTATTGTATCAAGTGTCCAGCAAACACTTATTCTGGCAACCAAATGCCAACTCCACTGTGCTTAGGGATAGAAGTAAAGTGAAAGTAAATGTAGAATTATTTCTACTCTAATTTAATTCACATAAAAATACACAAAATGGCTTTACAATTTCATGAAACAATGTTTTTTTATTATATTACATACTAGGAAATGCAGTCAAAATCCATAGTAGACAGTTAACTCAGTCATGTTCTAAGCATCATATTTTAAAGCATGACCTAATAAATGATTAAATGTCACATCATTATCTCTGTATTAAAATTACTGGGACAGTACTCCCTAGACACATAATATCAGGAATGGATTTTGAGTGCAAGAAAAAAGTTCACCAGGCATGATAAATATTCAAGAAACAAAGCTGGCACCTACCAACACTTGCAGCGGGTGTCATGCACAATATTGAGCCTGCCCATCATGCATTGCAACAGGAAGGTGGATTGAAAAGGGAAAAGAATTAAAAAAAAAAACAACCCATCACACATGTTATTAGAGAAAAAAATCAAACAAGAAAGAATTTTGTTGTTATTATGGCATCAGTGGCATAAAACTGTGAGCATACAGGAATCACAAGGGAGCATAGTGGGTGAATAGCACATTGGTGGAACAGGGTAGAGTGGATTACCCATCACCTCATTTGTTAGTGCTGCAATAAGGCGCTCTTGGAGGAAATTAAATATTGGCAAAACTTGCTATCAGTTATGGATAGTCAAGCTTTGACAGTCAGGTATTGATGCTGAACAGTAAAGAATAAAATAGAACACTTGCGTTCTAATTCAGCTGTGACAACTACAATTTTATTGAATCTGTGATTGGATACCACAAGGATATATATTCTTTACTAAACTCTGCTGGCATTCTGTATACCTGCATACCAGACTGTAGTAAGAGGCCATAGCATGATAAGACTAGATTGTCTATAGCACTTGGTACACTTGTCATGAAAGAATTACGTAGGCTGCCATTACTGACCTTTCCTATTGAGAATGCATGTCTGTCTCTAGTTGTCTCATGTTTACATTTCAGTACTTTCTGAGTCACAGACCTGGAATAAGCATAGATACAAAAATATCTGACATTTCTCTGACACTCATCCACAACGTGCTTGTTCTGGGTCTATGGCTCAAAAAGACTGGATACAGACACAACCAGGCAATTTCAAGAGAAAGCCAGTAATGGCACCCAAGTAGCATGAAGGTGTACTATAAGGGCAGCAAGCCTACCCCTTTCAGTTGCCAAAACTTATGTTATCCTTGAGTTGTATCATTCTTTGCATATTTAGTCTTGGTTCACACTTGTGTGGGCTGCGTTCTGTGAGTAGGGCAGCCAACTCATTTCAAGGGGCTTCCCTACTCCTAGAAACACCCAAAAAAAGTTCCTGACTCTTTTTTAAATTGAGCCACCTACAACTGCATGGTGCTGCGGTACCAAGCGGTTTCAGAGACACAAAAATAAGGGAGTTTTGCCAATGCATGAGGGTGCTATTAAGAATTAAAGTTGCTTGTTATGGAGGCGCATGGCCGAAGGGGGGGCCAGGAGTGCCATCGGGGGAACTGAGAAGAGGAGGATCGGGGGTTCCTGTCTGAAAACCACTGCACAGAGCAGGTAAGTATGTCATGTTTGCTAGTTTTTTTTAATCTGCCTTTAATATCACTTGAAAAGGTACCCCATGCATCTAAAGATCTGCATGTTTCTCTTACTTGTCAGGAGCGCACAAGTGTTCCCGACTCGCAATAATCTGAACCTAGCTTTAAAGTCTAAGGGTGTTTTATAGCTAGGACATAAACAATGGGTGCCTGGCGTAACTCAAATATTTGCATGGTTCCAAAGCAAATACAGATTGATGGATGTTCTAAGAAATGGCACAAAGGACCCTTGGGACCCCCATCTTAAAAAAGACTGAGCACCTCACTTTAATCTTGGAGTTAGGTATATCTAACTGAAGAATAGCTAATATGATATCTTAATTGAGTAAAAGTGATGGGAGCATGGGAAAATAAACAGTTTATTAACCACAGATACCGGACTGTGACCAATTCACAAATGTAGTTATGCTCTATCTAGTCACACTCTATCTAGTCACACTCTACCTGCCAAGCTCCAACCTAGGTATTGTGGTCTTTTCTATCAGCTACAGACCATTCAGTAAAAGCTATTTTCTGTATTCTGTCTTTAGCTTTACGTAACAACACACTACTGCACTTTTCACAATGTTGTTAAAGGAGAACCAAACCTCACAAAGAATTACACATATTTTAGACAGAAATCTCATTTTTTGGAAGCATCATGGATTTTGGCAACAAAATGCTTTGGGTTTTGTGGTAAAGGGTAGCTATCATAACCTAAAACACCTGTGTGAGAATCCTCAGTTGAAACCTCCATTATTTGCCTCATGTATTTCATATGAATTTAGACCAGTGATAAGTTTGGGTTCAGTGCTTCGGAACTATTATGAAACTTGGCAGTAAGAAAATGGCAGCTTATCTGGGATGTCTTACACATGTTTCCCATTAAATAAGGCACCAGCTCTATACTTTTTAACGTGTACATTAGACACACCTTCACAGCACTGTTACAGGTTGATTTATTAGTAAAGTTTGCTTTAAAGTCATACAATGTATAGACATCAGAAAGACTCACAGCACAACTACTGCATTTTAGTGTTCAGTGGTGTTACAGTGAGAGTCACATGATGGCTTAAACAAGCATGCTACACTTCCTAACCAACTGATTACTGATTCTCGTCTCTGCCCCTTTTCAGCTTCCTTTTCCTTGATATGGGCATTCTATAACTGTTAAAAATCTCTAATTTCAAGAAAACAGTTCCTGGTTTTGGAAATTTATCCTGATCATTTACACCCTAAAATTTTGTGTTGCTTCTCATAATGAGTTAAATGTATTAATGTTATATTTTATATATAACTAAATAGACAATGAAAAGTAGCAAACAGCAATAGCAATCCTATATTAATATCTATGAGAATACTCCTGCTTAGAGCTTAGATTTACAAGCTCCATACAATTAATTTTAACTTCTGATTTCAGAGATTTTTACAGTATAAAATCTTTTATTAGAGATGCTCACAGCTGTATAAGAAGTTGTACTGTACAACAGCCAAGCATTATGAACATCTCTTTGGTAAAATACACCTATAGCAATGGAAAGGAGGCATGGCAGAGTTAAGAACTAGGTAGGGGATGCAACTCAAGATCAACAATATTATCAAGAATATGGGTAAAACAACAGTGTTTATACATAAATACTTTCATGCATATCTAGCTCTTCTGATGCCCCATTACTGTAATGATGTCCCTGTTATCCACACTGGAAACAAATATCACACAGCATGCAAACCCCCCCTTCACATTGCCGATCACAAATCAGTAATGTACACCACAACTGAAAGGAACATCAATAACTCAATTAGAGTAAATGTTCTGTCATTGTCCATTTATTACCTTTTCCTTACAAAGACTGAATTTACACTGAACTTACCTGGTGGGAAAAAGGCTGCCTGCTGCTGGAGCTGCATGTTGGCAAGAGCCTGTTGGTACTGGAAAAAAAACCCGTATTAAACATTCCGGTGGCACCATTGGTTTTTTCAAGTGCAGGCCTCTTTGGTAATGGGGGAAGTACAGTTTGAGGAATTCCCTTCAAGCCCAAGGAGTTAGAGAAAATCATAAAAGAAATGAGGAGAATAAGTGAATAAAAGGTAAAGAGATCACCATCCAAACAGCATTAATAATACACTCTGAGCTAGAGAGAAGAACAAGTGACTACAAATGGCCTCTTAACCTACTTCTCCAGAGCTGAGTGAGATAAGCCATCAGCAAACAAAGCAGCCATCTAGTCTACAGAAATAATGTGAAAATTGTGACCCTGGCTTATTCCTGCCAAAGTTTTCTGCAATTCTTCAAGGATACCTATCACCGATCCACTAAGTGGTCATGTAATGGAGTTCGAGGGCTAGCCAATATGTTGGATTGTTTGACATTTTACAGAGGAATCTTTCAAGGTAAGTGCAGGTGACAGGTATTGCTCCCAGAAGAAGATTACACTAATGCTTACCAAGTAGTGCCAGATGAGGAACTGATAGCTAAGTGCAGTGTGCACAGGCCAATCACCTCCCCCCTCCACTCCTCTAAGTATATTTACAAGTGGATTGTCCTTTCATACACAGAGGCAACAGACATTATAGCAAAATAATATCTGTGCCATGTTAAAAAAAAATCACATTTTTATTACAAAAAAAGGCTTAATTTGGAGCTATATGGCAGATAGATTGTAACAGACAATGTCCTAAAGTTTGATCCTTAAGCAAAATATAAAATATAAAAATGATCAAAGCTGAAGTTTCTGCACTGCTAGCTCCATGAAGGTCAATGATTAAAGCAACAGTTTTACATAGTGATTGAAGAAGGTTGGGTCCAGCTGAACCATACCCACACTTCCCCAACACTATCTACACATGCAAACTCTACTACTGCATGCAAGTATGTTAACACTGACTTACAAATGTTAAAACTACACATATACATAAGAATAGCAATAAAGCCATGCCAACCACATAGACACAGTACAAACAATTACATATTTAGACACGTCTCTATTCCACAATACAAATTCTGTTATGGCAGAACTGAGTGTGGTTACTATAACAGGGACTTATTAGAAAATATGACTATAAATTGTTCACATAGATGTATAATTTGTAAACCACAGTCAGTCTGGAATTGCATATTCTGACCATACAATAAAATCATATCTAAAATAAAATTAATTCTACGCTTGTAAGTTTAACACTTGTTTGTACAATAAAGCTACATGCCAAGCTTAAAGGTGAAAGGTCATAGTACCAGGTCAAAGGTTGCCTCGAGGGGTCGCTTCAGTGATTTGACAGCCGACTGAGTCTTAATTAGCAGGCAGCGAGCACATGATGGCAATGGGCCAATGGGGTTCAAGCGCATTAACATAAACAGCAAGCAGAGGTGCATCATGGGGGCAGCAGTGCATATTTTGGTAGGTGAGGAAAAAAAAAACAAATAAAAAAACAAATCATCCGAATGCCGTAAATAACAAATAACAAGACTAAGCATGCACAGTAAAAGTACTGATATGTTATTGTCAACTACCACTTTCTCACCGATAACATAAATTTTATTAATAAAGACATTCTGTTCAGCTAACGGCCACATTTTTGCTAGTACAGGTACAGCTTATTATATTTAAAGGACTTAACCACCAAGCTTTTGAAATTTTCTGTAGAGTCAAGTTTTGCATGCTTGTCTGAATGTCACTTGGTCATGTGTCCTTAGTTCATGCGTAGCATTTGGTAGTAGGTATATATAGTATGGTCATTGTTAACCAGGCTTATAGCTTTTCAACATAAGGGTCAGTTCAAATAAACATGCTTAAAGGATTGAGATGACCGGCTGTTCAATCCCTACCGGTATTTCATACATTTAGTATGCACACCAGGGCAATGAGATAATACAGTTAATAAGTAGGAATGATTATCCACCTTGATCCACTTGGCCATGCAGAAAACAAAGCTACCCAAAGGAAAACGCTCTTATTCTGTGGTACATATGTTGTTTGTCTATACCGTCAGATAGCAATAAACTGTTTGCATAAGGAATTCGAATGGAATGCAGTTATGTTTCAATGCAAACCTTTCTTCCTTGAGTTCTGCTAGATGCTTTTTAATGCAGAGAAATGTAGAAATGTACTCAACCAGCTGTGAAGAGTGAGATAATAATCAGACTAGCAGATTATCAATATTCACTCATGTGCTACAAATGTCAAGCTTTCAGTTACTGTGAGTAACAAATTAATTCAGTTTTGAAGAAGTTATAAGAAGACATTAAACAAGAGTTTCTGAATTAAACATTTCAGCTGCGCCATTGGAATTTAAATAAATAGTTTGGCAGCAATATCATGCTGGTATGAGTACGTGTTTGTGATATAGCTAAGAAAGAGGGGAGACATATACATTAGTAGTATGCAGTATAGGCACACCATATCCTTTTGCAGTGTTATATTGCACATTAGGTTATGGATTGGCAATAAAGCTGTCAAAGCAAGCTCTTTTGTTATACCTTCATGTTACTTGTACTGAATTTATCCACAGAAGACAAAATACATTTTACTCAGAAGGGACAAAACCGTGCACAGTAGTAATTGTAAACTATAGTGCAGCAATGCATACATATTTCTTTACTTTTGGACAGTGTTTTAGCAAGCCATACTAATGGCTGTAATAATGTGTTTGAATAAAATTAAGCAAAGCAATCCACTCTGATCCAAATTTGATATATATCATCACATTTATATGAGTTGAGGATGGAATTTATCCTTAAAGGGTCAGGAACTATAACATACCTAATATTTCAATGCTGGACAATTTAAACTGCATATGTGATGAAATTCAGATCCAGGAAGCTGAATTTGTGTACAGATCCTTTTTGGCAAATGATGAGCTTGATACCCCAACCTATGACCTGCTCTTTGGGCAGCTTTACTGATCAATAGGGAGACTCAGTGGGTGGGTGCAGTTGGGCCAGGCCTGATATTTACAAAAAAAAAATGATAGTAATATATAAAAAGAGAGGTCTGGGTATTTCTCCAGTAGTTAGGACAAACCCAACAAAGCATTTACTTCCAAACCAGAATAGGGGTCAATCTACTAAAACTAGAGGGCGCAAAATCTGGTGCAGCTCTGCATAGAAACCAAACAGCTTCCAGACTTTATTGTCAAATCTTAATTGAACAAGCTTAAGTTAGAATGTATGTACATAATTTGGTAGTTTGGAGATTATAGTTTGTTGGGGTTTGACCTAGTTACAGGGTGTCTCCATGGAAAGATTTCCCTTTTGTTCCTATTCTGGGGACATCTCAAATATTGAATTTACCCATAGTTTCATTCCCAGTGACATTAGTGATCACCCCAATTAGAGAGAGCAAATCTGCCTAATGGAGACAGTAACAGCAATAAAAAAACTGATAGTGGCTCTAAGCCCTCACCACTCTACCCAAATCTTGAAAAACATTTGCCTTTAGTTATATTAACAAAAATGAATATTGTGAACTTAGTAAACTATAAGCAAACAATGCAAAACTGCCCACTGTTGACCTCGCTCCATATGTCTCATTTGCACTTGGTTGGCTGAATGACAGTGCCCGCCTATGGCTGCACCCCTCAAACACATTTCACTCTGATGGACTTAATCATACCTGTACAATTAAGCCAATAATAGGGTTGTGGCCATATGCATGGACTGTCATTCAGCCAGCCAAGTGAAGTAAACATGCATGGAACAAGGTCATCAGTGTGCGTCTTTTCCTTGTTTGCTTGCTATGCAGCGTGGAGCTGCGGTGAGCTCCTGAAAGCTGACACCTTACAGGCTGTAGAGTGCAGGATTCATTGCAGCATTGATCTTCCTCACTAAACTGCAATCTGGATTTCATGGCTGCTCCTTGCTCTGTCATAAACGTATATGTCTTCTAGGCACCCTCAGGAACCTTGACATCCATATTTGTAAAGAAAATGAATAATAGTTCATATAAAGCAAGGTGTAAGCTACTGACTCTGTGAGGATTCAAGTATTCCTACCCATAGTAGAAATCAGTTTAACCCAAAGAACCCTAATTCACAGGTCAAGAATGGATTTAGTTTGCTTACTGAGGCTTAGAGAAAAGCAAACCACTAAGATAGTAAATAACAGGCCCATTGTAAGATATCTATGCAATATGCAGTAGCTGTTTTATCCCAGATAAGCCCCCAATTAGCCAGCAAGGAAGCAGCACATTACTTTTTGAAGTAGCGAGGATGTCACTTAATTGTCTTGATCTCTCCAGTGTTAAGAGACTCACCATGGCTGCTGCTGTGGCTGCTGCTTGAGCAACTGCAGCTTGATTGACCTGGTACTGGGCAGCCTTGATCTTGGCTTGCAAGTGTGCAGGCGGATGGAAGTATTTGCACTTTTCCCGTGAACATCTTCCTTTAATGTAATCCATGCACACAGTGACTGTATTATCATTGGTATCAATCATTGCGCTCTCAGATGGGTGAGCAAACCGACATTCATTTTCTCCTCTATTGCAGTTTCCACGCTGGTACTCCCGACATACCTGTGGACACAATGCAAATGCCATTTATTACCTGGTGGCAATTTTTTTTTACATTATTCCAGAAGACATATTGAATAAATCGGTGTAAAGAGCAATGTAAAGTGCAGGCAAACAGTCTGAATTCTAGACACTGTAATTAGATCAAGATGAAAGAAGATTTCTGATTCTATTATAATACTGAATACGCCATAGACTCTTGGGTGTCTATCTTAAAATCTGGATAACAAACTTGTAACTGCAGTGAACTTTTAAATAGAACAGTGTAATACTGCAAGTGTGGCAAAAAAAGTATGTCCCATCTGAATGCTCAGGTATAGTTCTTCAATGTTTGGATATTGCATTTTTTTATTTTTTGGTTTAATTTTCCCACCTTTTCCTGTTCTGGCCACCTAGGCACTCTATGTCATATGGATGTCCTGCTGACTCCTGGAATATCGGTGTCATCAATCCCAGGAGTGTTCAGGCATCCTCAGCTTGTGGCTTTTGGATTCACTAATGTTAACAAGTTGCCATAGCAACAAGGTGGGAACTTCTGCTGACCTTGCCATTGCTAAGTCAACTTGTCAACAACTCTATGTGATGCACAGTGGGATTACTGGCTTAGATAAACTAGGTGTGCATGCTCTGTAGCCAGCCGCTCACAATCCCGGAAGTGACTGGGTGCCAGATGCATGCACCCATACTTGGAATGGCAGCTGATGGACTTTGCTGGGGAGGTATGCTCCAGAATATTTTGCAAGTAAACACTACATTTTACTGTAATATTCTAATTTGATAAAGCACTGCCTAAGAAAAACAAGGATGTATTTGTTAATAATGACATTAGGAGACTGTAGCTCCTCTTTAACATACATGTTTAATCTTTACTTTTGTGTACAGTATATTATAATAATCAGAGTGCTTTGTAAAATGGAGCTACTGTGGCCAGTAAAGCTGAATACTTCAGACTAACCACAAGAGGGCACCCTAACTCTTCTAAAAACAATCATTCTCTGCTGTATTGCAGAGTATTCAACTATTGAGCCATTTTATTCTCCCATTAACAAACAAAAACTAACTGCTACAGGTTACCTTATCTAGTGTACGCCTTGACCCCCATATTATGGAAATGTGTTTTCCATAAAATTTTGTCTGTTTAAAAACAATAAACATCACTTGGATCAGTTTTATATTTATTGTATTAGCTGAAACTCTGGACTGTGAGGAAGAAGTTACATTATGAAGCAGACGCAATCTATATGACATATGTATATGATAATTTATGGATTACCATATAGTACTTTAAAATGAGGAATGGACTAAGCTGCAGTTATATATATTAAACAAAAACATTATTTGGAGCTTCTTCCAATGAACATCTATTCTGCTCTATAAATAGTGACTTCATCAGGATTACTGTTACAGATTATGTGTGGGTCTACATGTGTTCATTGAAATGTATGACCAGAAGCATATATTGGATTATTAAGTATTCACAAGAACAGAGGAGTATAATTTACTGTCACTATTGATCAATACACATTTAGTAGGTTGTAGGTGATACAGTAGCACAATTGCATATATTTAATTGTTGCGCTGCAGTTTTCACTATTTATTTTGTTATATGTGGGAATACATCACATGCTAGCTGCACATCTAGGAGGTATTTTTTTGTGCTGAAGTTTTTTCTATATATATTCTGTTCTGTGGTCAATACTTAGTTTTAGGGCCGATTCACACTATAGAAACGCAGTCCAGATGAGTTTCTGCATGTGCATTTGTGGTGCGTTACAGTGCGTTGTTTATGCATTCCAGTTAATTTTTCCCCCTCTCTTTTTCTTCACTTTAAAAAGGGACATGTGCGTTCCAGTGTGTTTTTTTATGTGTTTTACTACGTTCCAGTACAGTTCTGTGCAGGACAAATGCAGCCTGTTCTACTTTGTTTTCTGCATCCAGAACACGCTGGGACTGCAAGCACTGATGTGAACTATGACATTGACAACCATATACCCTACTTTCTGTGCATTTTGGATGCAGAAAAAAAAGCACACTGAAACGCATGTAGTGTGAACTGGCCCTTAAGCTTTCTTTTTCAGTTTTGATTTAGGAGCAATGTTGCTCCCCTCTGCTTTATTACTGTCTATGATGCTGCTGAGGAGATTGCTCCCAGTCTTTCTTCTATATGATACCAGAACAAGAAATGAGTGGAAGGGTGTCATTGGCACAAGGGGACACAGACAGCGCTAAATATGAACAAAAGTTGTAATCTTTTCTCATTTAACTATGGAAACATATATTTGTTTAAATGTGTTTTCATTTACAACTGTATGTTGCCTGTCCCCATTGGAGTGATGTCCTATCACTTTGGGGTTGATTTACTAAAGGCCAATAGACTGTGCACTTTACAAAATGCAGCTGCACTCTGCAAGTGCAATTGCTCCAGAGCTTAGTAAATGAGGTAAAGCTTGGCTTTGCAAAGAATACTCAACAACATGCAAGAAAAATTAAAGAAAAACAGCATTTTTGCTTGCAGATGATTGGATGATGGAAGTCAGCAGAGCTTCATCTCATTTACTAAGCAAAGTGCAACTGCACTTGCAAGGTGCACAGTTTATTTGCCTTTAGCAAATCAATCTCAATGTGTTTACTGGTGCACTTTCCTATATTCGTGTCATTGATGGTGTCAGATTAAGGTAAGGCGAGGGGAAAGATCCGCTTTACAGCTTCCTGACCAAAAAGACTCTAAAGTGCGGACTACTATCGTAATGGTGAAATTAGATTGAACTATTAGAGTAATTAATGCACAGGGCACTCTGCTAAGTCATGTATGTCAGTGTTATATAAATAAGGGAAATAAAGTGCTTCTGAGCATTGCTTTATTAAATAAGCCCAAATACCTTTATAAGGTGGTTCACAGGGTTGCACGTTTTAACAGTTTAATAGGACACAGAATACCTTTTTAATGGTAACTTCTAAAAAATTATAGATTGCATGTTAAAATAGAATGAGAAACTCCAGGTTGAATAATTTGAGCTGGATTTACTAATGCAAATATTCATAACATAATTTAAGAGCTGCTTAGGAATGTGGACTGTCAGAGAGCTCCAGTTTATACTGTCTTCCTGTGTTAATTTAATGGGACGATTGTCTATTCATACTGGTGCCATGATATAGTGTAACTATTCATATCATACAGAAAAGTAAACAAAGATTTTCCTGAGGCAAGTTTGATTACAAGAACCCATTTCTGCACAATTACAATATGACTGAGTTTGCGGAAATCACTCTACTGCTGTGTTTAATATGAATGTATATAATACTAAGGCCATGAACTATATTTATAGTTTTAAGCCAGCAGACACATAAGCAGAAGATCTCCTGGCAACATCGCTGTAACTGAGAACACACCATGTTGTCAGACTGAAAGATTGTTTTATATCACTATTTTTAGCCAAGACCAAATCTAGTAGCTGTTTTTCTAAGGGGAAGAAAACCAGCAAGGAAAGACCATCGATCCTAGACATATTCTGCTAGAGAAATAAAATAAAATAAACATTAGCAACATTTATATTAACTTAACTAACTCTCTACCAACGTACTGTAAAAAAAAATGGCTGGGAAATGAACAGTTATTTTTGGCGTGCCGTTTATAAATGGCACTTTAAAAAGAACTCTCGGATAGCCAGAAAAAAAATGACTTGATAATGGATAGGTACTTACTGGATACACTGCATCATTCAAAATGATCAATATTAGTGTTGATATTTTGGCTTTATGTATTGATTTCAGCAGCACTTCATTTTAAAATCACATCTATCCTTTTAATTAAAGTTACACTTCAAAGTATAACTTTTGGGTGGAAAAAGAGTAGTTTGAAATTTCCAACGCAGAGAAAGGTAGGATTTTAAAATAAAGTTTGCTAAAATGCATGCAAAACAATTGTTAGAAATGGAATCAAATTTGCATAAAGCTAATATGTGAGTTAAGGTAATAAAGAGAAAAGTGCTGGTGTGCACTACCCCATAGGTACCCCCTTGAAAAATAAACATCAGGCCAAGCTGATTTTTGAACAGCCAAGGAATGTTGGACTCCATAACATCGCTGTCCAATTGTGCATAACAGAAAACAAATCTATAAACATGTTTCAATAAAATACATTTGTAGGAAATGGAATGTGACATGGAAAAGTGAAAGAAAACAGGGAAAGTTATTAGCAAAGGAGAAACTTTTTAGAATTGTACTTATAAGTAACATTTTGCTATTTATGGAAGCAAAGGAAGAAGTAATGACATAATTTAAAAAAGAAATGGAAAGGATGGAGGTCATACAAAGTGCAAAATAGAGGACAGAATAGAAATCAGTGGTAAAGGAGTCCACAGTAACTGCTATACATGAAAAGATTTTCCATAATGCAGAATGTTAGACACAGTATGGAGAATTGGGCATGGTGGAAAAACACTCGCCTTTCTCTTCTGGGACCGGGGGTCAAGTCCAGTTTGATGTCCTAAGTGAAATGAGTTTGCTGGTCTCAGCTCAGTTCCCAGAGGGCAGGAGTCCACATCACAAAACCACCACACATAATTTGGCACAACAGGCAGTCTCTGCTCAGGAGAGGCCCAGGATTGAGCTGGCATGGAGACTGAACTACCTCTCACCCATAAAGAGGGTGCTCCCTCCACATCGGGGGTGAGATCATTGGATGGACAACGTGGGGAAGCTCTCACTGCAGCTGCCTGATTGTAGCTGGCCTGTGAATAAAAAGAGGACTTCAGTTTCCATCCCAGCCAGTCCCTTCACCATCAACATAGTCAAAGAGTGCTTATTACCCAGCCTGCGTCCGAAAATGCAGAGGCATATCATGACAAAGGAAAAATGCAAAATAAATAGAAATGCAGTACAAACAAAGCATTGAAGAAGGCAGATGAAGCTGGCAAAATGTATGCTACCTTTCCAGAAATATTTTACTTTATTTAGTATACATATATCGTATATGTTGTGTATAATGTCTGTTTCTGTAAACATGTAAAGTGCTGCTTTCCTTTAAGTTATTGATTTAATATGAACATAAAGGGTTTATTAATGGGGGACTTATCTTTCTACAAATGAACTACATATTTTGTGTTTAATGCTACAAAGACGTAAAAGGCGTAAGATCCATGAGTCACCTAATAATGTGATGGCAAAATATTGATAGGACCACACAATATGACTCCTAATTACTAAATGTGATCACACTGCACTTGGAGTCACACATTTAATAATAAAAGAAAGATTCTACCATTGTACCTGTGGTTTCATCAATGTGAATTAATCTAATGTAAATACTCAGCATTTACAATATTGCTTCTGTGGACTATACAATATAGAATGTACAATACAGATTCTAAGGAAGAGCCATGTTTTTCCTGTGCCATATTCTGAAACATTCCATTAGGAGGGCAGTCTGGAGAAGACACTAAAACCAGCCATAGATGGATCGAATCTTGGCCGGTTCAGCAGGGACCCTTCAAAATTCAATCCATCTATGGGCAGGGTGGTTGTTCTGAAGTGGATCCATCAATTAACTTCAGTACAACCTGCCTGTCTGCCTGGATTTTTTGCATGTGATTACAGCCAGTGTCTATAGCTACCAGCAATGAAGGCTCCCACTGAGAGAACATAATAGCATTGCAGGAGGGATTCCCTCATCAACACTGACTGTGTTGATGGGGGAATCAAGCAATTCCCCCATCAACGGGCAGATTTTCTTTCCTTCCACCCCTGGTGGAAGGAAAGAAAATTGTGTAATCTATGGCTTGCCTTAGTTCTGTAAGCCCATTATCGCTATACTTGAACAATACCCATATCACATTCTTTAAGTGTCTGAATGTACACCCATGTTTTCTAACATTATTTGTTTATGGCATGTTTAATCTTGTCTTATTGAATCCAAGAATATAAATTATCAATGTATCAGTGTTCCACTGCTTGAAGGTGGAAACCATGTCTGTTTGACATTGATGTATAGAATCAGTCCACACAATACTGATATTTTTATATTTTATCTATACATAAACAATAGTGTGACATATCACCAGCTAAATATGTTTTCATCTCTTGGAGAATCTAGTGGAGAGATATCCTATTTGGGGTTCTTGATGTGTTTCCACACTGTGGAGTCACACTCAAGCAGCAATGTCAGGTGGGTCTCCTTCTCTGTAATGCAATATAAATGCATACCTTAACAGAGTGGAACTTTGTAAGAGTTTGCAGCAGGTGGGTACACCACATGCAGAAAACTCATAGTCCATAGCCAAATATGGTATGGTATAACTAACCAGTTTTGGGTTGACTAACCTCTTTAAAGCACCAATTATTTATGTTCTTTGATATTTATTTTGATAGTGAAAACATTTCATCAATGAAGACTTTACTCACTTTGTTAAAAAAGAAGGATGAAGGAGAAGGAAGGAATGTGACAAAGGAAAGAAAAAAAAGGGATGAAGTCCTGTGAAAATACTGAACTTCTCACATATGTTCCGCAAGCCAGTCAGGAAAGAAGACATGACAGCAAGAGAAAAGGTTGATGGATATGCTGCATTAGAAAGAGCTGTTGGTGAGTACACAGACAAATGATCCACTGGTGGGATATGGTTATGCAGAAGAAACAATAACCTAGCGTTACAAGGAAAAGCGTTATGATAATATGAGATTTGGAAAAAGAAAAATGTACATGAAAGGAGTGAGAGCAGGCTGCTTCCTGATAAAGAGTGGATGAAGGCAGAAAGACTTAATGAGCTCCCTCTTAACACCAACAAGCTTAAAAGGCAAGGGCATAGAAGACCACTCCATGGCATTAGCATCAAAAACATATGCACAATTAACTTGGTGAACGCTCTCTGGAGGCACCAGAAGACAGCAGAATTAATGTTTCTTGCATACTTTACACTAATACGTTTTTGGTTCATTTAAGACATTTAGGTCATTATAAGATTAAACATGTGTGAAGAACAATGATGTACAGTGATCAAAGGAAATAAAATCAACCTTCATGTGTGTCATCAGTCACTGCATGAAATGGCTGAAGAAACGTTTAGTTTGTTGTTGGCGATGACTTGGGGCCATTAACTGTTCTCAGCACAATATGGTGCATGGGTTTCTTTCTTTCTTTTTAAATAAACATTTTCTTTTTGTAAAAGCCAAGGATGTCCATCAGAAATAGCAGCCTTTTACTAGTTTAAATTAGGTTGGTAATAGATAGACAGATACCTGCTATGAATAACTGGCAGTGAGACATCTGCTCATCCTTGAATGCATTTCCATCTACAGCTGTCCTCTGTACAACTATGCTAATAACTGTTAAGGGCTCGTTCACACTTGACTAATTTCAAACACTTACGCCCCTATAGCATTTGACAAGCTTTAGACAGGCGTTTGGGAAGCGTTTTTAACGCTCTCCAAATGCCTTGTTAGAGTTTTTGAGGTGTTTGATAGGCATTTGCCAAGCGTTAAAACCACACCACAAACGCCTACAATGAAATTTAATAGTATTAACGCTACACAAATGCCTCCAACCGCCTCGCAAACACCCCAGAAATGCCTGCCAGGAGTTTGAGGAGGGTCACCACAGACTTGAATGGGAGGCTTCAAACTCCTCTTGACTGGACATGAGTCGTCAATTTTTCCGCTACGCAACGCTAACACTTCAGTGTGAACAGCACTGTATGCTGCCATGTGTAGAGTTGTTATAGGCATTTGAGGAGCGTTAAAAACGCTTCCCAAACGCCTGTCTAACGCTTTCGAACAAATCTAGTCTTAACTTAGCCTTAGAGGTAAATACTTATTAACTTTCCTATGAATGAAAAAGAATGATCATCTCCAGGTGTGAATATATTTTCCAACAATCTTGTGTATTTCTACATGCAATAATGTGTGCCTCCCATGGCTCCCAGATATCCCACCACTCATCCAACTGTGCTAAGTAATGCCTGAATTGGGTACCATACTGACAAAGATCAGCCTGTATATGCATACCCTTCTGGCTGTACTACAGCTAATTTCTGATTGGGATAATGCACATCATTGTTCTTGGCTGCTATATTTCATAAAGAGTTGGTAGTCAATGGAAAATGATTAGCCTGATGTCAGAACACACATTGGAGCAATGCTTAGCCAAAATCATTGCAAGCGTCAGATAGCATAACATCTGTATCCATTATTACCTGTCATATATTTTGTTAATATACTGTATTTGCCCTGCTCCCTCTGTTTAGCTAGCACAGACATTATAGAATGTCAATTCTGTTTTATGAGTCTTGACAATGTTCTCTGCCAAATGTATTCTTAATTCCCCCAAAAGTGTTTGGTACATCAAGCCACTGAAGTAAAATAAGCTAAGGTTTAGTAATAAATCCTGCATTTATACTATATAGAACATTTTCTCTAAAGTAAAACTGCAGTCATAAGAAAACACACAACATTAGCTTATGTGCATCATGTGGCATATTTGCTGAAGAGCATAACGAAAATGAGATTTAATGAGGTTTTTTTTTAAGATTATCATCCAAAGTACTGGCACAAGTGTGCTTATTACTGATTTGACAAATCATCCATAATTCAGTGCATTGGATGTGAGATTGGTGTCAGAGTCTTCCAGATGATGCATTACTTGTTCATTTAAACAATAGCTTTAATGATAAATGAAAGGGGGGGGCACAGAAATTACTGGTGGTGCTATGTGTGTATTCTAGTTATGCCTTTACTCCACTTATATGAATATGTTGCCCATAGCACCATAGAAGCCCAATATAATCCTTTCATGGTCCTAATATGTTGCTATGAGCAACATATGGGCAACATAAGCTATATGAAACATACTGTATCCACATTTTCTGTGTTACACTGTTATTGTGGCATTAAAATCCACATCAGTGTATTGTTTATATAAAATCTGCAAATTCAAAGTATTTGTGCTGATTTTACAACGGTTGTCAATACCTGGTAACCAAAGTCATTAGGTTTTTTCACAGTAAGAAAAATAGAACACTAATGAAAATCAATTAAAATGCATCAGAAATCAGCATTACATGTACTGTAGTTTCATGTAATTTGGTTTACCAGGAGTAATCCTTTTGTTTAATCTCCTAATTGCAAACTGGGAGTTAATAAACACAAAGATTAACAATTAAGGAACAAGCTTTTTTACCTGACTTAATGAACAAGCTTTTTTACCTGACTGGGATTTTTGTGACACTGACAGTATATATTATTTTTCAGGGTTTATTCGTTTCATTCAGCTAACCAAGAAAGCAGAGAGCGAGGCTTGCATAAATTTTATATGTAATGAATACATGTTTAATGATATTACAAATAAATAGGCCATACCTCTAGTCTGTCTGTTCTCATTAGCTTCTGTGCAGCTGCTGCCGCAGCTGATGGCACTGCCACTCCGGGGCTCCCAGCAACAAGCATTGGTGCAGTAGGAAGAATTTCAGCAGGTACAAGACCCGGTGAGACAGGCCCCAGGTATGGGTTAAAGGCTGCTGTTGCACTTGTGGCTAGGCTTGGTGCGACTGAAAACATTGGCTGAAAAAGACAGTACATTTATAAAAAAGAGATGACTCTACACAATCAATGAATTGCTTGAAGTGGAATTATCTTTTATACACAGTAGGGGCAGCCATTTTGGAAGTATGAGTGACAGCATAATTGCTTCTACTATGTATGTGGATATATAAGATCAATTTTATAGTGCATATACTGTATCTTCCTTACATATAATTACATAAACATTTTTTTTTACAAATTACACATGCATTTGTTTTACATACATGTTTATTATTTTGCAAACAAGCTGATTTTGCCGTTAATGGCTATAGTTTTCTATTTTCAATAGCACTAATATCCATATTCCATTGGGTTTAAAAGTTATTCCATCCAAACTAAAGTTCTGATATATGGCTCAATCGCTTGTAATAATTTAGTTGAAACTCTGAGGAGATCAGTTCCGGTGAATCAACCACTATTTTGACATAATTGTTTAATTTAATATGCAAAATATAAAAATTGGCATGGAGTGTTGAAATCTCACCTGGGAAGCTATACATCTTTAGTTTTTAGTTTAGTTTTCTATTATTCTGAGCGGGTTAGATAGAGATCAAACTGGCACTGTGGACTGAAACTTATTTAGGATTCTCCCAATATGCCTTACTAGTGAATGTTGATTAAAAAAAAAATGGCCCAACGATCCTATGGTCCCCTTAAATTAATATTCACAGCTGGTTTCTCCATAGAAAAAATGGGATAAGAAGCCAGATGGTACTGGTTGCTAGGATCTAATCCCTTACAATCAGGAGAAATGGTTGGATTTGTTGGTATCCTTTTTCTTCACTACACATAAACATGGAAACCAACGCCTATAGGAATATTTAAAGACATTGGTTCATTTTATTTCTATATCATACATGAATTAACCTATTTTCTATGTTATGTATTCATTATTTGTATAAAATCCTCCTTCACGTAACAGACATTTTATACAAGCTACAACCATGACTCATTAGCAAAGCATTCATGACTTTCTAATAAGCATGCCCAGCAGTAGCTGCTCAGTTGTTGACTGTCTCCAAAGGGTAGTCTATACAATGTTTTGTGAACTAGAGAGACTGGGAGGGAGTGTGCCACTTCTAATCACTCAGGTACGTGTGTGTGCATGTGTATGTGTGATCTCAAAAGCTGAACAGCAAAAACCAAATTACAGTATACTCTCTTTAAAGCATTGAAGCAACTAACAACAGAGAACATAATAAAATAACTGAACTAAAGCAAACATGTACCAAGACTATCTATTTAATTTCATAAGGCAAAGAGCAATGTAAAGTTACATATGGTAACATATAGAATGAGTCATTCAAATGTCTAATAGAAAAAGTGTTTTATGGTATCCTGAAATGTTTACCGACAACTGAAATCCTTGTTAGGGATGTAGTGATGTTTTTACGCATACCATAATGACACATGGGGAGTAAACAAAGCTGAAGCAAGTTGTGGTGACCTTTTCGAATGTTCCTTTGTAAAATGCTTGCTCATGGATTTTTCTATGGAGACTGGAAATGCTCTCAAAGCAGTACAGTATAATACTGGATTTTATTACTTTTTTTAAATTTTATTTTAAACATGTAAGACTAATCAGTAGCCCCCCCAGTCATAGCCTAATCTAATTTTTCCTTAACATTTATGCCAGCAGTAGCTTATGTCTTCACAACGTTTGTCATTAGTCACACAGTCTAATTCTGACATACCATAGTATTTAGCTTCTAAATTGGGCATTCATTGCAGTTTAAGGATGAAGACTGACTTCTGCATTCTGTTTGAAACAGAACCTAATAGAAGTGGTAGAAGTGATAGTGAAGTGTAATACTGCAACCTACATGTACCCACAGACCCAGATTTGGCCAGCTTCAGGTACCTATTTAATACGTGCATGGAAACACCCCACAAGAAAACTGGACTAGTTCTTCTATATTGATCAGCCATGATTTACATAAAAACTTCTCGTCTATCAAGGGAGGGATTTTTGCCCATGTGGCAAAAACCAGACTGTCCACTCAAACTGCACCCCAAAGACATAATAGATGTATCCTTACTTCATGTTTAGGTGACAAATGTAAAATTTGATTTCCCATCGCTTTTTGGCCACCAGGAAAAAACTTTTGTTATAGATACACTTTAATTCCACCCATTGCAAGCCTTTATTACTTAAAATTTTCTTTTTCTGGAGTAGCTGTGCTATAGCTACTCCAGATTTTGGTGGCTTAAGTTTTAATAAATTCCACTTACTGGATTTTATTATGTATTTATAAATGAGTTCCCTTATATTTTTACATTGGTTAGAATTCAAATTTAACCATATTGTAATGTGGAGACTTTCTGGATTTCTTTTCCAGAACACTTGACACGACACAGGAGTCTGCCACTCAATGTTTTATTATGAGAATAAGCAGATTGGAATTTTAAAGGCTAACTTCACTTTTGTAAAAAAATTATAAGAATAATAATAATAAATGTACATTATTTTGCAAGAAAAAAAATGTGCATTTACATTTTGTTTTCTTAGAAGCCTGCTGAGCAGATCACATGTACAATGTCAGGGTCCTGCAGATTCACAGTACAGATGTCTGCACATACCTCCTGTGCGAGCAGACAGTTTCTGAAGAACAGGAAGACCAATGAGCTACGAGGGTGCTCCCCAGCACTGTCACAGTATATTGAGAACTACAAGTGATCTGCCGCGATGGAAGATGGGACTTGTAGTTCATTCATTCACAGAACCTACAGAGCCTAGTGAATGAATGACGCAGCTGTGTGGGCAGAACCCTATATAGCCATGCTATTTTTAAATTGTGACAGCGGTGCAGAAAGATGATTCGCCTTCTGCTGTCACAATAAGGGATTAGGGGGATGTGGGATTGCTGCTTTAGAAACATATTACTTGTTACCCCAAATATGGGTGTAACATTTAGCATGATACTAAAAGTGAACGTATCCTTTAATGGAAATATTGTCAGGTGATCACTGTGAATTACTGTAGCTGGCTCAGAGAGTGTTCATGTGAATGCAGATCTCATGGTCAACATTGCAAAGAGGGAATGACTGTGCAGACAGTTGTGTGCAGATGGATTGGTTTGCCTAACGTTGTGCATTTACAAATACACATCACTGGCAATTTAAAAAATGTGTATTTATTCTCGGTTAAAAACATAGATGTCCACACAGTTAAACATAAAAAAGGAAATAAGTTCTATTACAGCTTTCCCACTGATGTACTTACCACAGGCTGCAGCTGAGTACCGGGAATCATTGCATTGGCTAGCTGCATTTGCTGGGCCAGCATGGCCATGTTCTTTTGTTGAATCAGGTTATTCCGTCCATTTATCTCTAACTGTGTTTTTAAATGTGGTGGTGGATGGAGATATTTACAATTCTCCCGTGAACAGCGACCCTTGGGGAAGGAAAAACAAGGCACTGTCAGTATAAATCGGTGTGATATTTGTATGCTTGTAGGAGTGGAAAAGAGAACACAAATACTTTTTTCTATCTTGAAGTATATCTGAATGCTGTTTACATTGGAATTGAAAATGCAAGTCACCTGGTTGTTCTGTCCGCATAGCATGTATAAATAAGTACTATGCTGTATGTACTAAACAAAAATATACACTGGTTTATGCAGGTTTATGCAAAACTCTCTTGAATAATATTAATAATCAGAAATGAAAAAGGTACATATAGCCATCAAAACAGAATATATTTACCGTACATATAAGGTGATCACACAATATTGTCCATACTTGTAACTGACATATTGTCTGGTTATCCCAGCTAGCTGTCACTTTGGTATCAATTTAAATGGTACAATATATCTATACACTTGTCCGAAATGTATGAATGTTTGTACAAAGTTATTATTTACTACTACTCTAACCAAATAAACAACATTTAGCCCTCATGCACACTGCACGTTTTTACAGCTGCTCTTTTCGGCTTTTGACGTTTTTTTTTCTACAGCCAGTAAACCCCCCAGCATGCTATCCTATGTGTCCATGCACACACAGACTGTAATTTTTTGGATGTTTTTTGGCTGGAAAAAACCCCAGGTTTCGAGAGGAGTTTTTTTAGCTGTAAAAACACTCTAACACTGAAATTCGTGGCAACGCGCAGTAAATCGTGGTAAACCAGAGTTTTGGACTTTTTTTGCTAAAAAACCGCAAATGTGAAAAAACGTGAAAAAAAAAACGTCAAAATGCCGCTAAACGCTAATACAAAAAAAAAAACATCAAAATGCCGCTAAACGCTAATACAAAAATGCTTAAAAACTCATGTTTATAACGTGACTTTACACAGCTAACATTACCAGCATTATTAAAACACCCAGTGTGCATGGCGCCTTAGATGTATCAGATCATGAGTTAATTACATCACAGACACACCAAAATTGTAAATAGAAGCACATACAGAAATCATACTTTGAATTTGATAAGATATAAGAAATAAAGCTAAAGACCCTTGGCTAAAGACCCCTAGAATTGGGTACTTATACTGCTGCTCCATTCATATCACAGCATATTGATTCATAGCATCTGAAAGTGCCAAAACATGTTACAGTCAGAGCTGTGCCTTAATGACATCCAGAGTATGACCCTTACATAATCCATCCTGTATGTGTGGGTAATGAATCCTGCAGGGGAAGTTTTGTATTGGAGAATCCATGATTACACACTCCTAAACCAGGAATGTGGCCACTTTTAGTGTGCTTGCTGTTCTTTCCTCCAACATATCTGAACTATTGAGGGTTGCCTATGCTCCCTTTATAGATCTACAAGTTAAGACATTTATTTAGGCAGCATGTCTGTTTTACTCTCTATCTGAAAATATAATTTACAAAAAATCAAAATAATTAATTCCAGGGCCGAACTCCCGAGATTCATCACTGTAACAGCCATCTTTATATCTGAACGCGAATGTAATGTTGAAAAGACATTAATGCTTTGTCATGCTGTAGTTGAAACCAGCCAAAAAAGCAATACTTCTGACTAAAAAATCTATACCCACCCAGAGCAATAATGTCTTTAGTCTGAAAGCACATCTAAATTACCAGTGTGCTCATCTATCACACAGCACAAGGAGGTTAATAACAATGATAAAGTGTTCTGACTTGCACAGGGCAGATACATGAGCTGAAAGCAACAAAAAGCTCTTTAAAAAAGCATCAAAAAGAATATGCTATATGTAAAAAAAAAAAAAAATATATATATATATATTTTTTGTACAAAGAGAAAAATATCCCCTCCCTTAGTCATCACTTTACTTTACTGTAAATCCCAGGAGCCTTCTATATTACCTGTCCTGTTTATCTTTCCTCTTCACTAGGGATGAGCTTAAAGTTCAAGTTCAGATTGAACCTTGGCTATTTGGGTGTTCGATGAATGTTCGAATATTTGACTGTTTGACAGGAGCCGAACATCACTATAATAGCTAAATTACTACCTCTAATTTGACAGTTTCTCACTGTCAGTGCTTGTTAAGGATGCTGGCGAGCGTAGGGATTGCCAAATCCTTAACAATCAGTGAAGTCACTGTCTCCATTCTTGAATGGCTGGGAGCCCTGGCCATGTAAGCAAAAGGGTGGGGTGGTTGTGGCATCACCAACCAAATATTGTCATGGATACAGACCAATTGTGGATATGTTCATACTCAGTAAGTGATCTCATCACATCCCTTCCCCCTTGTATATAAACCTAATGAAAGCTCCAAATCCAGAGGGTTATTATGGGAATGCATCATGGCTGAGCAGGTTGGTGTATCAATTAGTTTTTTTCAATAATTAGCGTCATCATTTATCATATTTGAAATTAGATTTATAAGGATGGCTTTTTGACGGGGGGGGGGTTTTCAATAAAAGACTGGTACATTATTCTGGGAGCAGTGTCCAGCAACCAATGCACTTTTTTGACAATTCCTTGACTATTAGTCCTAAAAATTTAGAAAATTGGTTCAATGGTGTTCCGATTCAGCATCCAAACTTTTGATTTGTTCAACCAAACTTCCCCAAACCTAGGTGTGTTCAGCTCATCCCCACTCTTCACAGCACAAATGGTTAAATTTGGAGGAGCAACGTTTCCTGTTCTCTTCACTCTGAGGTCTTCAACCCAGAATTTCTTGAACATATTGAAACGTATAAAAGGGAAATTATAACTTATGTGTTAAATATGTATGTTTTTAAGTCTTTTTACATTTTTATGTTTTAACTGGATATTTTCAGATTATTACTCTTTATAAAAAAATCTTTAATTTATAAATAAACAGACTGAACAGAGTGCACCTATGACACTACTGTCACATCAGTAGTTGATTGCTTTCAGACTGTCTCTTATGTCTTATGTTTGTATGATGCCGTATAGAGCAGACAAATGGGGTGGAATGGTATAAGTCACTGTGATGTTTCTGTAATATGAACAAGTTCTACTTAATTATGTAAACAGGGTTACTTTCAGAAGAGCAGTTAACATTTGAAAAAGAGTTAAGTGTGACGTATTACACTCACACAGCCTCATGCTGCATAGAGATTTTCCAGCTTGCAGGACAACAATCTGTGGTTGCCACTCGGGTAGGTTAAATCATAGTTAACCCTTTACACACATAAGTATTAGCCACCACCATGTGCTTTAACAGTAGCATGTACAATTCACAGCTTCTACTGATGCAGGTGTGAAGAAATGTTTGTATCCCTCACTTTCTTCAAAGAGGCAATACATTCTTTATCTCTCCTTAGAGCACTGATAGATTCAATTTAACAATTTCTAAATATTATTTTAATGAAAAAAAACAAAAACCAGTGCAAGAAAATATTTTCAGAAAAAGAATGTCCTAAAGCAGACAATAAGAAACAATAAAATAAATGGTAAAAGTAAGAAACAAATTTGTAAAGTCTGACCGGACTTTGGATCTAGCGCAGTCCAATTCACTTGCAGTGTAAATACAATCAAATTTATTAAAGTCACTGGTTCTCATAAATGACTCACAGCAGTCCTTTTATAGTTCTGATTTTAGATGAGAGCTACTGATGCAACCATCCCTGAAAAGACTGTACAAACATAATACAACCAATCAAAGGGTCTAAAAGATATACTGAAAGGATTTTAAAGTGTTTTATTATGCTACAGCAGACATTTATTCTAACTACATATTTTTCGTAAAGATGACAAGATTCCAAAATCCAACAACCAACATATTAATGTCACAGAATGAAATGACAATTCGTTAGAAACCAAATATAATATAAATCAGATGCACAAGGTGTTCCATAAGAGATACAAAGTGTGCCGTCCGTTGGCTGGATCTTGAAATATAGTCGTGTTTGGTGTCTAACGGATTGTTATTTTCTTATTCTTTAGTGTAACCAAGTTTTATGAATGTAACCTTATTACAGCAGGAACTTTGGACTATGAAAAGAGTTTGCTTCTAGTAGCTAGACTAGGGTGTGTATCTGCTATAAACTGTTCTGCTAGAGGGTCTAATAAAAGATCTTTCAAGGTTTCAGGCTAATGGAAGTTTACAACATCCTGCTCCACTTTTAGCTGGGAATATTCTATTGAGATTTATGTTGGCTTAGCTTTCTTTCTAAAATTTTCTGATTTGTGCCTAAATATGGGTTGTGTTTTAGTTGGGGGGGTTTATAAAGTGTGTCACTGCCTATCCACCACAGACTAGATTTAAATTTGACCATTTTGTCACCAAATTGTGCATTTTGGAGATATAAGGGTGCAACTGTGAGTAATATCACTTCCATATTCTGTCCGCACAATTTGGGGTCATCATCAAGACTATGGCTAGGTTCACACTACTGCGACTGAAATTTGATCCAGTGTTTAGTACAAATATGTAGTGCATCTTGTTTGCGATTTTGATGCATTTTTTGGTTTTTGGACAATCATAATCACAAGCATATCTATCATTACATAAATTAAAGGCATCCTCTTCCTTTTTATTTACTTGTTTGTGTTGTGTGGTGGTTAAGCAGTCATGTTTTCCCTGCCCTAGGTCATGGCAATAGCTATTGCCACAGTTTTGATTGAAGAAGTCGAGGAGCAGAGGAAGAAGAAGCACAGATACTGGATCCATCCAATCATTGCAAATTGGGAAGAGAGAGGCCAGTTCCGGGTCATGTACAATGACATTTGTGCACATGAGGAAAAGTTCTTCAATTACACATGCAGGTCAATAAAAATGTGAGTACGTACGCTTATCCTTCTTCTTCTTCTTCTTCTTCTTATTATTATTATTATTATTATTATTATCCTCATTAGCTTTGTTTGTGGAGGGATGTGCATGGGAGGGGAAAGTAGATGGGATTAAAAAGTACAGAAATCACATGAATACGTCATCAAAATCGCATGTATCTGGATTTTGGTGCTTTTCCATTAAAGTCTATGGAGCCCAATCACACTGGAATCACACCAAAGTGGTACAGGATCCCTTTTCCCTTTTTGTGTTGTGCTGCATTGTTGTGAATGGACACCACTGAAACCAATGTGATCTCCATTGTCATGAAATTCTGTGTGACTCAGGTCGCATCTGAAATTGCACTACTCTGAACCAAGTCTAAATATATACTAT